AATGGTGCATTAAATAATTAGAAACTTTGTAAATATACTAATTTGGTCTTTTTGTACTTCAACTTTTCAGTATTTCAACAAATATATTTTTTTTTATTTTTGTCGTTTTCTTTTTCATTTTCAATCATTCTTGCTAATTTTTTGTAAATTCTATATCAATCATTCTTATATATTTATACACTTATTCATTAGTTAACAGATTAATTATTAATTAAAAAATGCAATGTAATAAAAAAATTATGTAATAACATAAAGAAATAATGGAATTCATCTGTTATTAAAAAAAGTTTCATTTGACCTAAAGACATTTCAGGTAAAGCGAATATCAGTGCTTTGTGTTAATAATTTGATATTGTAACCATCTCAAGACACTCCTGTAAAGCAAGTGTACTTACATGAGGAAACGCTTGTTATGACAAAGTAAATAGGGAAACACTTTATACGAGTAGTTGTGATACGCTGTCATCCTACAATATTACCCTTGCGTAAACCGATCCACCTCCGATAATTACCTTAATTCAGGATACGAACTCCTGATCAACAACCAACAAAAAAACATAGCTATTGATCATGGGACGCGCGCGACTGAAATTTCAGTTCAAGGTTAAGGATTATGGTTCCGTGGACCGCAGAAGAGTTTTATAAATGTGACAGGTCTGAGAAATAGCTGCTCCTTCCGTCTACACCGTTTTGCTCCTTTTTTTGTATTTTCCTTTTTGTTACTACTATCCTTTCGTTCAGCGACAGCAGCAGTTTTTCGCAAAATTTTCCGGCCACTTATACAGCCGCAGTTCGCGCGTTTCTCTGTACATGACACGTTACAAGTTTCCGCGATTTGTTTCCCAGATGACGTCTTCCGAAAATCCCGGCAATTTACAAAAGCCATATAACGTCACTGCCACTGAGACATTATTCCAACTGGTCGATAGAAACTTGATTTCTCAAACAAAGGATATAAATTTATCAAGTATATTACTTCTAGATAATTTACTACAAACATTACAATCTACATAAATAAAATATTTAAATACTATATGGAGTTTAATTTAAACAAATTAAAAAAGTTTTTACGATCTACTTTTGTGTATTAGTTCAATAAACAGTATATTAGATTTAGGACTAAAGTTACTAAAGTTTTAAAATTTGAGAAATATCTTCTGGTCGATAGAAAGTTTAAAAAGCTTATCTGAAAATGTAGTAATCCTATAATAAGTGGATTTTATTTTATTTAAAATTATGAAAGGATTGATGTATGAGCTTGAATGTTGTTAATGTTCAGCGGTTTTCCATCGAAGCTAAGGCTTCAAACTATTATAAATTAAGCTATTAATAAAGGGTATAAGCTCGCATCCGAAGAGGGGATTCAGGTTGAACAAGTTCAAAGCGTCCTTCTTTCGTCCTTGACGCAGGGGGGCATTCAGTAAATCTCCGAGTGGGAGGCATCCATTAATTTACATTAAAGAAGGACTAAGCTGATGAATTGATATTTTTTCCTGTCTGTTTTCTGTTAAAGCCTATCATTCCTTACGTTAATAGAAGCCGCAGGGAATAACGTACATATTTTCATTATCATCATCGAAGATTTCAGCGCCGAATATTCTGGTTGCGCATTTCATGAAATACTCAATACAAAATTGGAATATTCGCCACCCCATGTCGAAGTTATTTTCGCTAAGCTTCCATTGTGTTCATAATTACTTCCGTTTCATGACGTATCGATTGACAGGAAAGAAAGGATCCTGGAGAAATTTTCAATTTTACCCTCACACCATGCCTCGACGGAGTAGCATCAATTAACACCCATCCAAAAATGTTTAAAGCTCGGGGGGGATCTGCGAGATGAAGAAGGTCTGACGAAATTGGGCAGGAAAACTCGACAAACATTAATCCCGATACAAGGCGTCGGGTGAGGGGATGGAGTCCTGGTTATTCCCTCCATCCTAAGCTCTTCCACTTCGAGCAAGCAAATTGTAACATAGAAATAAAACTCGATAAAATTAATTACTCCTTCCAGATATGCCTTAATTCGTTTTAATTAAAACTCTGTTTTATTTGGTCCCTTTCCAGCAACCCCACCCTGTCTCCTCTTCCATTCGAACCACCCCCAACCTACGAACTTCCATCCACCCAGAAGGGTACACGATTTCCGAAATGGATCATTAAAACCGATTGCTGTGCAGCAGGCGAAACAGAATTGCTATCATGCAGTCAGGTGGCAAATAGATATGATGAATGTTCACTGCTCTAAGCCTGCCGAACGGCTATCCGCTATTTTAGTGCGGAAACCAGCTATTATCCTTACTGGCTAACCATAATTCCGTTCCACTCAAATCGCGGTGAAAAAAAACTAAATGCCAGAGGGTTTGGAGCTATTACCATAATCCAATAATGGAGTCTACCTAATCAGAGCTAAACTCCCCAATTGTTTAAACCACTGCTTAATTCATTTTTTCATACATATCTATTTATATAATCCAACATATCTAATAAATTATTTTAAATATAAAAATTTAAAGACTAATTTGAATAAGTCATTAATAAAAATATTCAAAAACATTTCAAATTAATCAAAACTTTATCAAATTCATATACATTAAGTTTTCGTATTAAATTACCATTATTTTGTAATAATGAAGAGATTTGATCACTTAAATCATATTCATTTCCTAAGATTTCAAAATATAATCCAATTCCCCATTTTTTTTCTAAAATCAATGAAATCATATATTTTTTTAATGCCTACAGCAGAAACTTATATAATTATACTTACGTTACCTTTCGACACACTAGTCATAAGTATTTTTTTTTTCTTTAAAAAGATTTAATCTTCTCCAGTATACATAAATTATTCACATTTTACTTTGCATGCTTGAGTTAACTTTATTTAAAAATTCATAAATATCAACAACAAACGCAGCAATTATAATATACATTAAAATTATAAATTCTTATAATATTTCAATGATTCTTCAATAAGGGCTAATAAAAATTAGTAAATACATAAATATAGCTATTTGTATGTTATTATACAACACATTATATCTTCTCAGACGTCACGCGAGTAACGATGATAAGTTGGTAGAAATGAATTAATTTAATGAAGTTGCAAATTTCAACTGTATATTATTTAACGAAATTGTCCTGCAAATAGGGGAAAAGGTGTATTAGTAATGCACAAAACTAATTATAAATTAATTGAGTAATTGTCAGATCGCTAGAAACTAGGTATTCGTTGTTATCCTCCGTAGTTTTTTTAAATCTATATAAGCTAGTTAAAAAAATATATATACAGTATTCATCATGTATTACTGCCTTATTACATAAGACTTATCTTATGCAACATTGCGACTTTGAAAAATATCCGTCCTCAAAGGATCAAACATTTTTTAACTTTGAGATGAAAGTTGGTGGTTATCCACCATAGTAAGTTGAGAAACACTAGGAGTAATTAGCCGTTCAAAACCGCCGATTTCACTCGGTGTTCTTTACCGTCTATCCTGTAGGAAACTTTAAACCGTTGACCATACTTACATAATTCGGTCAAAGTCCTCGGACTCCAGTTTCCTTCTACGGACAAAACAAAATTTCATAACACCATCCATTCCAGTTTGGAAACTAAACGTGATTAATGTCGTCCAATCCAAGGCTCGCGATTAATCAGAACGCATAGCTGGGAAAACGCAGAGCTTGTAAACACATAATTATGGATTGGAATAACATCGGTGGTGGAGAGAGAGGGCTAATATAAATGGATAATTATGAATAAAAGATGTTGGTCGGAAGAAAGGGGAAAGGCTGGTTAGCGTCGGCGGCTCTGTTTTTATGGTCGTTTAATGTTTGTTTAAAGTTTTGCAGTGCCGGTGTAATAAAGTGAAATGGTAGGTTGTGTTATTCAAATGAGGATGTAAGTTGGCCGTAAGTGTCGGGGGTATTCATTTTCGTTTGCAGCTGTATTCCTGCCGTGTCCAGTTTTATCCCCCCAGTATTATATCAAACTGAATAAACTGTTTAATATTATAACTGCTCGAGTATGCACGTATATGTTGTAAGCATCCTCCCTCCATGCCAAATTAGGTTACACCATTCAGCAGATCCCTTACAAAACTTCAACCCTAATCATTACCGCTTAAACTACCATTCTTAAACGCATCCTCAAGATAATACTATCAATGTATTTGATGCTAGTTCATAAAGATGACCGATATCTTCCTTACTTTGTAGCCCCGAAGGAAAACGCCAAATCGCCTCGGATATCCCCTTATTTTTTTTTCTTTGAGAGCGGATTTTTTTCTACTACTACTTCCGATTTCCTCAAAGACAATCCAATGGTCGGCGATAAAAATTTAGTGCGGCTTTGGCCATCAAAGATCTATAGATATATATATAAAAAAAAAAAATGGGGAATAATGTTGAGCAACAAACATAAGGGTGGAACGCAAGGATAATCCTGTTTACGTTGTCGTGCTCGGAGCGATCGTTAACTGAAGTTTGCGGAATAAGTTTTTTTTCCTCGAATTCAGATCTAATTAAAAATTATGCAACTAACTAAAGTTTCGGGTTGTGATCGTGTACCGTAGCCATTGCAATATTCCGAGTTAACTACAGGATTGTTACGTATTTACAAATATTAAATATTGAGAGGTTAATTAGGGCTCATTAATTGAACCTGGCTAGAACAAATAGCGGAGCGCTTTGTCATCGGATGGATGTTTGTAGTTGGAATCAGATGTTGCGGCTTGTATCAATATAAATATTGACGAAGAAAGTTGATGTACGTAATAAACGGTGGTAGGAAATTGCATTTGAGATGCTGATAGCAGTGAAGTAGGTAAATGTTATTAAAGGCTGAATCAATATGGATAGGGCGAGTCCCCCATCAAAACTTTAATCTACCGAAAATTAAAGAGAAAATTAACCTACGGTTAAGCTATTGATGAAACACCCGAACTCTGGACGCTTCAGAAGTTCTTACTCACACCCCTAAAATCCAACTTCCTTCGATTTAAACAAACAAGTGCGTCTTAAATACAAGTTTAAAGAAAACTCTCCATTTGAAAATAAGCTCCCAACAAATTAATCACCTCCGGCAGGACTCTATCTCTTTCGAGCATTCCTAAATATGACGTCCTTAAATGCATCCTTCGGAATGCCGAAACTTCTTTTATAGCCTCGCTTGAAAGACGACCAACACACTGTGCAGCATAAACCTCCTACTATTTCAAATGGAGTCCGTTTTCTTCTGAGCATCGATAATTTGTATTCTATTTATCTCGGAATCGGGTACTTCTTTACAATTTATCCGTTACTTCCTCCTTGTCGGAGTATCAGAGTATCTCGTTGTGTTTTATTTTTTCATTTTCCTTCTACTTCTCAGCAAACTCCGGATAATATCCAATGAATCGATTGGTGCTGTTCCATTGTCCAAAGATGCACTGCGTAAGCGAAGCCGGATTTGTATAGAATTTATACAGTAATAACTTTGTTGTTAGTCTTTTCATTCCTGTACACATTTTCATCATTTCATCAAGTTGAACTTTTTCAAATGTCACGAGGTTGTAGCACAATTTCATTTAGCTGTAATAAAGGCAATGTAATATGTATCGACTTGCATGTGAACGTGATCCAAATATTACATTACATTATATTAAATAAGCCAAACCCAATCCTATAATATTTTTTTTATAATCTATACAAGCTAGTTACATTTTTTGTCTGGATTTAACTTTGAGATGAAAGTTTTAGTAAATTATATTTTCCAATAAAAATTACATCTGGATTTGAAGGATGGATAAATTAGTTACGCTGAATTCGATCAGAGCATTGAGTAGTTAATCATTCTGTGTTATATAAAATGATGTAGTTCATAAATACTTTAGTTTTCAAATGGTTCGAAACTAAAATGGACATAAAATAAAGTCCGCATGGAACATCAATCAGTGATATTTATAGATTGTTCACTCTGTTCAGTATTGGAACACATTACAACAGAACTTTCATCACCACATCCAATGTATATACGTATATATTCATTTATTTATTTATTTGTCATATGTCGATGTTAAAGCGTAGCGTTAACTCGGCCAATACATAATTCAGGTTTCAATCAAATCGATGGTTTTAATGGTCCAATTGTTTGAGCCTGTCCCTGTTATTTTAACAAATAGAAAATATTTTCCATACAGCTTTGCTTCAAAAAATCGTCAAAAACAATGCTTTATGTAATACTCCATTGTGTTTAACGCCCGAGGATTACGTAGGTGAAGTTTCGAAAAAATATCACCTCCGTGGGAAAATACACACCTCTGCTCCAAAATAAATTCATATCGGACTGCAAAATACTAAATATATAACCATACGTCCGTGCGTAAATATTCGGATTTTGAACGTAAAGCTCCCGGTTTCCTTATTTTCCTAAGGATCGTGAAAATTCCAGGGAAAAAAATATAAACGGAAAGGAAAATGTTTATGAAATGCACGTCCGTTTCTCCGAGATAACGTGTATAAATAGGCGAACATTGAACGATGAAAAAGATTTAAGAGCTTTTCGATACGTGGCGAAAATCATATAACGTAATATCAATTTGTTTTTTCAAAACTTAAAAAAATATTCAGTTAAAAATATTGTTATAAACATTATTATTTTATTTATATATAAATGAAAACAAACATCAACATTAGTATTTACTAATTTAACTTTATGTCAACTTTAATCATTTAATTATACGGTGATGTTAAATAAATTTAATGAGCTCTGATTGAATATATGACATTCCGTCATATAAAAGAGAATATCCCTCGGGTTATGAAGATACACCTGAAATCAATTACATAATTAACTGTAATCTCTGGGGAGGGCGGTGGATGCGCCAGGCTAAGTATTTGTTACCTGCGTGCATGTGCACAACCATAAAGCTGAATCGTGTGATCTGGTATTGAAACCGTTGCCTCGTTTTGTGGCATGATAACGTTTGTTTTCATTACCGCATAATTAAAGGTAGGATTATATTCGGAATACCCAGACGCGAGCTAATAAAACACCGAACTCCTAGTCGTTCCACTTTATCGATTTCAATTATCCTCCACGCCGCGAACTGATGGTGACTAATGGTGATTCTCAAGCGTCTTTTTTACCGGGTATTTTCATATCCCCGTTAAGAAATAACGCGGCATAACGTTATCGTAAATCAAACTAGTTTCCACCAATTAATGCTACCCAACATCAATTTAAATAGAATAAATAAACGGATGAGCCGCAAATCCAATAATCCTCGCACTGATACTCTCTCGCTCTTTTCCGGTATATACATCATCATAATTGAGTTTGGCTGAAACCTAGCCTCACCATCATAACTACTAACTTACTTTCAAAACGTCAGTGAAGCGTATGCTTATGGTAATTACCGAACTCCCCAAACTCTCGCACAAAGAAACCGAAGACAAACGAATTGATTTTGGAGAATATATACCTATATACCTAATTCCAATGCAGAACGGCGCAACAAAGTCTCAAATTGAAAATATTCTTGGCGAAGCTATACCTATTGCAGATTATAGTACCACTAAATCTTTATTACGCGAATAAGGACTGATATACGCCCTTAAAATATAGCTTATCGTATCAAATATTAAATGTAGGTATTATTTTGAAACAAGTATTCAGCAGAGCCAGAGTTCATCATTTGCCCGCAAGTATGCGGTGAAACAAAAAAAATATACATTTCTTTGAAAACTGGAATTTTCCGAGATCTAAGCTATACATATATATTTTTCCAGAGTATAAACGTTTATTCCCATTTTATTATCCGTCGCAGAGAAAAATGTTCTGCCGGAAAAATCTTTACACACTGTAGCTCTTTCATTTCGCTTCCACCGTGTCTCTCAAAATTTGCAAAAACATTCAAACAACACAATTTTCAAATCTATTTTACAAAATATTCCTTCAGTATAAAAGTGTATTTAAAATTTAAATAATATGTTGATGTTGTATTGTTTCGTAACTACAAAGCTTAAAATAAATTGCTTTTGTAAATATGGAAAGGAAATTTTAAAGTTATAGCATTTTTAAATCAGAAATTTTATAAAATATGTTTGTTACCTGAAAATAATTGAGTGATCACTTTGCGAGGTAATGTAAATGGACTATGGATTAATTTACATCGGGTCGTAGTTCCCTTTGGCGATGCGCAAGATGAAAGGGAGTGAAGTAACAAAAAGACCCTACACATATAGAAATACACGTGTGGAATGAGAAAAAGGGAGAGACACAGAAATAAAGTTTGTTTGGACCTAGAGACGATGAGATGCCAGTTAAATGTAACAAATTGTTTCGGCGTGCGCAAAAAGCGCGTGATTCAATTGCGTACAAAGGTATGAAGGGCTTTTGGGTACGGGCGAAAAAGGAACGATGCGGTGCTTTGTGCATAACGGGACGACTGTAATAAAGACGGCAGTACAATATATATTTATATAAAAAAAGAGAAGTAGGAGTTTTTTTTAGTAGTGATTTCTCTGTAACGTTTCAGGGGGACGAGCGGTATTGACATAGATCTGCGAAGGGTCGACATAGACCAGTGTCCTTTGCCAGCCGACAGTACTCAGCTTAACATCTTCGCAGCATCAGACAAATGCAAGAAAAGGACAACGGATGTAAGTTATCCTTCTTGTTTTTCAGGACGAACACAAAAAAATGGGATGGGATGTATTTAGGATATTCCCATTGAGAAATTAATTTAAAGCACCTGCCCAAGTATTTCTTTAAAAAAAATTCAATCCAATCATAGTTTAAGTGATAAATTTCATAAAATACGCGAAGACTGAAAAAAAAATTACGATGAATATTTTGTATCAGCTAGTTTATTAAAAATATTCAAGAATTTTTATAGAATAACACAAAAAAAAGGTTAATTATTTTTTATAATATAATATTAATCTTGTTTAAAATTAATAATGATACTTGATGGAGCTATATATTTCATTAGGTAAGGTCATTACGATTATTAGAAGACAAAAATAATCGAATTACACGTATGATTGTAAAATCGAATAATTAATTAAATTGTCAAACTGTCAGTGTGAAACGTTGATATTTTAATGCTCGCAATAACAATTATTTGAACGAGTGAGACAGCGTCAGTGGCAGACAGTGACGCAACAGTGGATTGTCCCGGATGCACGCATATCAAAAGACTCTTTTCCCACAGCGATTGTTGCCCATGTGCCAATCCCGTTGATGAGTCCTTTGATGAGTGCCTCCTGCCTCCACACGAAAGAGAATTCGTTCCGTTGTGCAAATTTAACTTATTGCGGTTTCGACTTCCATTATTCCCACATTTTCGTAACGCAAATATTTGGACGGCCTACGAAAACAGAACGAACCGAAATCGAACCGAAAAATTACATCCATCTATGTTCCCATTATTTCGTTGCATCAAAAGTATTTATTTCTATATATTTTATAATTTTGTATTTGTTAATTAATAAAGTAATCAATCAAAGTCCAAATGTTAAGTTAACAAAAAAAAATCTCCGAATATCAAAGTTTTAAGTGATTATATAAGGAAAGTATTACTTATAAAACAATTAATTATGTATACTATAAAGTAATTATAAAATAAAATAAAATAAATTGTTTGATCTTGTGTAGGAAATAAAATACATTAAGTTCTGACCATTTCATTTTGCGGCAACTAATTAAGTGCCAGTTAAATAGGGTGGCTAAAGTTAGTTGTTTGTTTTCCTTCTCCTCTTTAAGGATGTAATGTTTTCGGGAATAATTAGAATAATCCGTGTTTTCTTTCAAGTCACTGCCATCGTTGGAACTGCTAACAAGGGTGGGAATTGACAAATCTATTAAAGGAATAATCCGGGGGAGCAATCACTTGCAGCCGTGGCTCTTGTCTAACGAACGGAACGCCACTTGCCAATCAACATTTAAACAATAAGGGTAGAGAGATAGAGAAAAAAGGAGAATGGAGCAATTTTGATTAGCGAAAATTAGGTAATCTGATTATGATTGGAAGGACTATGATTAGGATAAAAAAAATCTTAATTTCATTGCTAAGTAAGAAAGGATGGATTATGATGAGGATGAAAAAATCTAAAATTAATTGCTAAAGAAAATCTTTAAATTTAAGTCATTTTTATAGTTGGGTGTGGTATTTTTTTTTTGGGTTTTCTATGTGTTCCTATCAGCGGAGGTGGTCCGCGCATTATATACCATTTTGATCGCGTGTTATACTCGAATATTTTCGGTTCCAGTGCGTGCCGCTTCCTGGATTGGGCTTCAGACGAGGCAGCTACAAGTGCGTGTGTCGGAGCGGCTATTATTTTCCTGACACGAAAGCCGAACGTCGTTACTATAATGGGACCGTGATCGAGGAGGAATACGAAAAACTGATGATGGTATGTATCTGCCTTCCTTCCACCCAACAAAATGCATGCAAACTCGCATCAACGAGGCACCGTTATGTAAACTCCTTAGCGCCTTATCTGCGCCTACCTTAATGATCCCGAACGCTCACAAATCACTTGAAATTTCAAATCTCCAAAGGCCATTTGTTTCCTCTCGCATACATACATATAAAGACATACACACACATACATCTCGAATACGTATTTATTATTTTCCTCTCTTGCTCCACGTAACTCTTGGAATTCATGTAGCAGCCCCTCCTACTCTACCACCACCTCAGCCGAACATAAATTCCGTCGGCATCCAGTGCTTCGAAAGTAACTTACGTAATCTTAATATTTATTGCCATCGTTCCGTCGGCCCATGCGCAACCCCATTGTATATTATTAGCTAATTTATACTTAAAAGGGTGCTCCAAAAAAAACATAAATCATAAGAAGTCCGCAAAATTGTTATGTAAAAATGCTCAGTTTTGTTGCAAATTCAAATTTCAGTCTTCATTAATTTCTTTGTGTCTTCTTATATAATTTAAAATATATTACATAATAACTGTTATACTCAATCATCACAGCATATTTTATTGTTTTAGAAACATTTTACTGAAAAAATGATGACAAAACATTATATTTTTTTAACATTTTTAAAGAACAGAGACAAATCTTAAAGATTGGAAACAAAACTGAGCAAAAGGAAATGGAACTTGGGATTATTGGGCCAGCCGCCTAATCGGGTCAAATATACTGGTCACGATGTGTCCTGATTAAGCGACTGATCAACTGTATTATATAAATCCAAGTTAAAATCAGAACTACGATATGCAAATTTTTTATACATAACCTCCAGTATATGACAGATTCCGTGCTTTGCTACAGTGTCCAGAGATAACCATGCCCAGCGCAGGTAAATATTATTGCGGTCAGGACTACAAATATTTCGATAGTTATCCTCCGCTATATTTAATATTATTGAGTATATTTATATTTATTTAATATCAATATTACATTTCATATTTATATTTATAACATCATGAAATTACGTAGTTAAAAGTTAATATTAATTAAGACAATATGATTAACTTTTGACATTTATACTTGATATAAATTAATAAATTAATTATTGACTAGTTGAATAATTAATTTATTAATTTATATTTTTTTTTCAATATTTTCTATATGTCAGATTATCAGTTACTTAAGAAAAATATGTATAACAGTTATGAATAAATTCACACATTTATATATTTTTTGTTCTGATTCAGATAAGCCACAGTTTGTGGAAGTTAGTGGTAGCGAAATATCGGTGAATATTTCTAAAAGAACTTCGTGAAGAAGTCTTGTTGAACTACGCGAAAACAAGAGTAGTACTAGTTACTGAAAGAAAAGTTCGACAACTAGTAGCAATACATTACAGAAACAGTTGAAAATAAATGTAGAAGATGCGCTTTCTGCAAAAGATCGAAAATTTATATATACCTGTCGCTGTTACAAATATTTCATTTACACAATAACTTTCATATATTTTTTTTAAACTTTACATATATTTTTTTACTATGTTCAAAATATTGAAAAAAAAATGTTTATGTACAAATTTATGACTTATATATTAATTTATTTCATTGATATTTTTTAACTTAATAACTATATTAATTATATTAATAGAAAGAGCAAAATATATGTGATATTTTACCACAGACCTATTAAAAATCCTTTTAAGTTTTACACTAACTTCTCGAGTTACGACCATTCGCATTTACGACAAAAACGAAATATATAAGTTTTATAGTTTTTGTTAAATATTCCTGCTCCTCTTTGTATTCGACTTACGACAATTTCGTTTCTCGTCCGAAATTGTGGAACGAAAGCTCGTAATTTTGTATATTTCCATTTGAAATTACTTTTTCATTATTTTTGTGAGCGAAAATTGAATGTTAGGTCATCTTTATATATAGGTTATTAATAAAGTTCAGTAAATGATTAAAATAGATATTTATTACCTGATTGTCATAGTTCACAAAAGCAATATTGCATAGAAATAAATACATTAATCCATAATCTGAAAACCTATTGTCCGATAGAAACAAAGCGACGCAAATAGGCATAGGCTTTGTTCAAGTTATTAAAGAGACTACTTGTAAAAGCTGCGTCCCGTGTTTCGTGTTCGCTGTTCGGAATTCATCCTCATCGATGTTTGTGAGGCACGTAATTCCGGAAAAATTTGATTAAAAATCTACGCTTCAGAACGGGTCAATAAATGTAATTATTGTTTGCTCGTATGTTTGTTGTTTATTGTAATTATTATATTTTTTTATTCCCTTAATCACATTAAAAATCCAGCATTTGCCATTTTCACTTGCTGCAGCGCAATAATTTCCTTATTGGCTCAAGTTTATAATAAGTTTTACCTATCCTTCAGATAATATTAATATGAAGAAACGCCATGACCTTGAATATTTCTTAAACTAACTTTTAATGGAATTCTCATTTAACATGACAACAAGAATTAGTAAAGTTAAACTTCGATGTTTGCGAGGCTAGTAATTCCTGAAAAATGTACGCTTCAGGACGGATCAATAAATGTAATTATTGTTTGCTCGTACTTTTGTAATACTGATGTAATTATTATTTTTTTCAGTTATTACATCCCTTACATCCCAGCATTTGCCCTATTCACTTGCTGCATTATTTTTCTTTTGAGATTTCCTTGCTGAAAAACAACGTACACTCAAGGGGTTCGTTCTCTTCTGTAAATTTGATATCGAGGAGTAGATTTCCACAGGACGTGCCGTGTGCAGTCATGGATTGCGTGGGATGCTCTGATCCAAATAGTGTGTGGGGGGAGAAATGATGTGATTTGGAGGCAGGAAGAGCGCTGAAAATCCGTAAAACACGGCGCTACCCATTAGCCTGCCGGGGGCGCAGAGGGCACCTCGTGGGTGGGGGGCGCCGCGAATTTAATTACGAACTTTCCGCGGGGTCGCCGGGCGCTTAACGATGGCCATTACGCAACGCTTACGCGATTTAGAGGAAATATTACGCCGCGGATCCTGCCTAGAATACATTTCTGCGTCTCTAAAAGAACAATTTTAAATTTACACGAGTGTTTCGTAACTTTACGTCCTGTAAGTTTTTCTCCTTCAGATGAACATTTTATACAATTTGTGTATAAATATAGACCAGGATATTTCTTAAAATTTGACAAATTTGTACATAAAAACTATAGCACTTACAAATTAAAACATTGGGATGCGTGGTTTTTGAGTAATACTAGAAAACTTAAAGACACAAAAGTTTTTCTTTGAACTTTAATAGCTTATAATTGATATTTTTCAAACTCGTATAAGAAGTAAAGCAATATATATCAAGGTCAAATCTTTTAAACATTCTACATTATATAAGAGTCGTGGTGATTCTTCAAATTTTCATAAACAAACAAAAAGTAAAAAACATAAAAACACACGTAAACAACTGAGCAAAACAAACATTGAACAATAAAAGTAACTTGCAAATAAATAAATAAATGCCATCCGTTTGCATGCGAAAATGGATGGCTAAAACCACCGGATACCAAAAACAGGAAAGAACAAAACAAACGAAAATAAAATCTAAAAAAGCACGCACATGCAGCTAAAACACAAATGGGTATTTTCAACATCCGCTGTATTTAAATAATATTTATTTGGTGTATTGTTTTCACCTAAGAGATGTGAGCTTTAATCCTTTGTTCGTGAATGCGTTCGTAACTGGAAACTGCTAATCCGACAAGACACACCTCCTGCTAATTGCTATGGTTAAGTTAAACGGTGTCTGTAATGAGCCGTTTTACCTGCGTCTATGTAATGCAAGCATAATCAATTCCAACTAAATTACCTGTAAATTTGACCCTTTGATGCTCTACATAGTGGACATGTCTATAATTTGGGTCTATATCGAAATCCCGACAACCAAAATCTTTAGTGTCGGGATTTTAACAATGTCTAGGTTTCGAATGTCGGGAATTCGATTTTCGAGATTTTGATCTGAACCGGTATAATTTTATCTTACACACTTAGATGTTCTATAATTACCTAAAACTGTTAATTTCTGTAAATTTTCTGAAAGTTGGATATATCTGAAATTCTGATATATTTAATATTTATTTAATAATTATTTTCACGTGGGGTTAATCTGAATGTCCGCAGCAAATTTAATCAATTGGAAAATTTGTAGGTGTGGTTTATGGGGATCTGGCACACCGCCCGATAAAGTGCCGCTGCTGGGTCGGTTGTTTTATATCAAATAATTTCCGGGGAGAGTGCGGTTTCCGGGGATTTCATTAATATTTAATAAGTGGAAAATTAATTTCGCCTCGCCTCAAAGGATTGCCTGTCATTCGCTGCAGACTGCACCAAATCTAAATCCAAAGATGCACCGTGAAACTGTAGAAGAAAGAAAAAAGAAACGTGACGGTACGATCAAAGAGCTTTTGTGCATATTGTAAAATTACGTAAGTATTCTTGAACTGCATGGCGGAGCTGCAACAGTGGAGAGGCTATTAAAATCGTAACGGTTTCCATCAAATTGAGCGCTTCCACTTGAGCTGCTGCGCTACAAGTCCGTCAACGTGTTAACCTTGTTTTCCCAATTTCGGGTCAATTAAGCCCTTTTGTTTCCGGTTTTAGGGAAGTGGTGGATGGCTGCTAGATTTTCAGGCTATTGCTGCTGAACTACATACAGCCCTTTGTTTGACATATTGTTTCAACATTATTCCGTTTCCCGGACCCCGGTAAAAAGAAAACCCTTCTAAACACCGGAAAACAAATAATTTCATTCGGAAGCGATAATTTAGTTTGGAAACAATTAATTCGGTAAAGTCGTGCTACACCCCCGTCACTCGGTGAAATTAGTTTTTGAAGTACCATTTATCTCGGCACCTCGACTCAGGTTTCGCTGATTTTTCATCTAGATTTTCATTATTTTATTTTGTGTTTGTGTATATGTTTACTATCCTTTGCGCGCGGTGCAGTTCGGAAATCACATTAATTGCCGATGAGCCGACCTCCCCAATATTCGATTCCCAAAGGGCGTTTGAAGGAATTTGATTCGGGATGATATTGATGAGCTCCGGGCTGACAAAGGAGGGTAGAGAACACCCTGCACACACATATTTCACGATTTGCACATAACACAATACTTCCTTCCTCCCTGCGACTTTTCGCGAGGGTGACTCAACCCCTCAGATAAATTCAACTAGTTCTATCAGGCAAATGTATATTCCTCCCGGCATAATCCTTCTCCGCTCTGCAAACTACACGATTTTCATCTTTATCTCTTAGTGTACCATTTTTATTTCATATTTTTCAAATAACTTACTTGGAAAGTACCACAGAAAACTATCATACCCATACACACTACGCAATACTTGGCAAATAACTACTTTTTCTTCCTTTGCTTGAGTTGTATCTCATACATACTGAATAATGTAATACTAATTAAAATTAAATACTTGTACAAGTACTTGCAAAAGCTACTTGTACAAGTAGTACATGTATCCTAGTTGTCAAGTGCTTTGCCTTCTGTAAATACTAGTAGTTAACAGAATTGTATTTATTGTTAATCTATATGTTTTATTTGATACTTTACTTGGCAAATATCACGTAGAATGAAGCTTAATATAAATTCGATTGAATTTAGACTAAATTTAAGAAAATTATGAGATGGCGCTAATGGTTATCCTCCCTCAGCGTCATAATTAACCATTGTTTCTTGATCGCAATTAATATTTGATTTTAGGGCGAGAAGAACCATTACTCGACGAGTGGGATATTCGAGTGTCTGCCGTGTCCCGAAGGGTGCGAATCCTGTGAAGACGATCGTCCCTGCGTAGTTTCATTGAACTGGGTAACGAGATCGGCCATTTTGGCACTCTCCTGTGTTGTCATATGTTGCCTACCCATCGTCGTCGTCTTTACTTGGAAATATGGGAACGTTAAGGTGAGTTAACACTGTTATAGCATTATGAACTCCAATGATGAATCAATATTCATCTCCCCATAATTTAAACCTCTAATAAACTGCATTAAACACCATACGCATTTGCCGTTACCATAAATAAGGATGGGACAAAAAATACTATTGTTTGAATCACAAAATGCTTTATCATCATATCGAAAGTAGGTCAAGCTTGAAGAGATGCAGATGACATCAGATAATTAAACGATAAAAAAATAATATATCAATTCTTCAATTAATCTTAATATCACTTGAATTATATTGATGGTTTTCACAATAAAATATTGAAATAAATAATAAAATATTTTTTTACTAAAAAAATAGTATAATTAAGATAAATAAATTAGGTATGATAACAGCAATTTAAATTTGATTGTGAAGGATCATAAAAAATATCATATTTTAATAAGGAAGAAGAAAAAAAAACAATATGACATTAAGTTTTAATTTAATAATGGTCTAGAGGGCGAATTTCAATTAGACCTTATTTAATATTTATCATGGGAGCCCTTTATGAGAGAAGACAAAAGGGAAAAGATAAGGAATGCAATATTGTTTGAACAGCAACCGAGCGGCAAAAGGAGGAGCTATATAAAAAAATAAGATGAAGAGACGAAATAAGGTGCGTCACGGAGAAACGAAATTTTCCTTTCTTCATTATTTCGTGTGAATATGATATATATAAAAAAAAGGAGAAGAAAAAGAAGAAATGGTGGATGCGTGTATAATAAATCTTCCTCTCACGCATCGCGACTCAAGGAAAACTTCAAAAATCCACGTTGACATATTTTTGTTTAAACTATAAAGGGCTTATACCCTCTGAGATAAAAAGCTTATATACAAATCTATCTCGGAAAGATTATGATCAAGTTTAATTAATAAATTTAGAAGGTCTTAGGAGACATTCCATTACGCAAAAGTCCAATGACAAACATTGCTTCCGAAGGGTTTTCTCATAAAGATGATAAAAAAATATGAAGAAGAAAAACTTAATGGTGCAAATATTGCCACATCGTCGCTAGCTTTCATCCCCTTTAAAGGGTGCTTTAAGATAAAGCCTCTTGGACAGTGTCATGCATCGCAAAATACCAGCTTTGTATTTTGCAATATATAGATATAAAAAAAAATAATAATAACAGAAAATATTAATCTCGTTCTTGCGAATTGCTTCGATGCTCGAGCAATGATTCATTTTTGTTCTTTCTACATGTTATTATTTCCCTTAAGTGTGTCTCCAAGAGTGAACAATTAGAGACGTGGTTCTACTTCGACCGTCTCGAAGCGAACGGAACAAATTACTCCCACTTGCAGAAAATGTAATTTTTCTTGCGAGAAGACAATTGTAATGATTATGAAGGAACGGAGGAGATGTTCGCTATATCAACGCAAGAGCTAAAATGTAGAACAAATTCAGGAGCAACCTTTCGCAATTTAAATGATACATTGTTATTATTACTCCTATCTTTTTCCTTCCTGCGCTCATTTTGATATGTAATGGATAAATTGGAACAGCGCGTGATATATTCACCGTTCCTAGTTCTTTCCATTTATTTTACGCTTTTACTGTATTTTATTTTATCGATATTTCCATCTACTGGATATTGTTTAATTACTATACTTTGTTCTATTTAATCTATTAGTCATCATCCAATCAAAGACAATTTACAATAGTCATAATCATTATTAATTAATTTAAATTATAATATCCACGTTTTACAACTGAGGTAAAGTGATACTAGAACGAATGACAGATATTAACTAGCGTATAATAGTACTATTGATTGTAGTAGATGAGTTTTAAGTAAATTTAACATATTTTAACAATAAACACAAAATATGAATTGTAATTATACTACCAGACTACCAAAATTACTTTTATAATCTACCAACAGATGGCGTAACAATTGTAAGCTTCTACAATATACAAAAACACTTTATTATTGATTTTTTTTAAGCTATTAAACCATAGTTGATTATGACTTAATCCAACTTCAAAGACAGAAAATATTCCAACAGAAAAAATAAATAAACTGGAGATATTTTTTTTAACTTAAAAATAATGTAAGGTGTGATGTATAATTTAGCATAAATCAAATGAAAATGTGTTAATTGCTAAATAAAACTCTGTTTTTGAGAATAATACAAATTGTTATAGAACAATTATAAAATATTTTTGCAAAATTTTATTTAATATAACTTTTATTTGGTTTCAAAGTTTATTAAATGAATTCATATAAAATAGCAAAAAGTAAATTTGTAATATAAAATCGATTAATTCAATCTATATAGAAGAAATGTTAAATGTATAAGATTTTATTATGAGTAAACATAATCGAGAAATGATATTTTGCATTTCAGAATCTTAATATTCTTGTTCCTCATAGTTCATTTAATTTTACTTTTGCAAAAGCAGCTTACTCGTGTATATCCTGCTTTTACTTCATTACGCCCGTAGCGAATACTGTTGTCTGGCGGTGTTTGCTTTTTGCAACAAGGTATTTTGCGAACTTTCCAGACGTTGTGTTTATTTCATTTTACATTTAGTTACTTAGAATTACAACGTTGTTTTCCACTGTTGGAAAGAGAGGATAACAATCAGGAACGTATTTTTCTCTGGTTTATTCAAACAATCACGTCGGGCATTTGCATATAAAATATAACGCAAATGAAAAGGATTTATGGCGAAGGACACCGTGTTTATATGTAAATCTTACAAGCAGGACTTCCTATGACTTCAAGTGGATGCTCGGGATGTTTGCAATCGCTTTACGCTCTTTCCCATTTTCGTCCTCCTTAAGGACACGTTTTAACGGTCCTGGCCAAGATAAAGCCAACGTTGCTGCCGTTTGCTTTGTGGTCTCGACAAGGAATAACAAAAAAAATATATATATAATAGGAGAAAAAAATATACCGGAAGAAGGACTAATTAAAGGGCGGAAATAGGAAAATCCGAGGTGACTGAAAAATAATTGGAAAACGTCCGCAAGGTGTTTTGAGGTTCCCCGTGAGGGCGTAAACGGCGCCAAGTGAGTTATAGCGTTGACACACGTATATATACACACAAGTTATCACAATACCTTAGTCCTTGGAGGAAAGGTGCAAACTATCAAAGATTAATAGTTTTGACAGCAAAATCGATCCTAAGGGCACTATCTTTATCCGGATAACCTCATTTGTATTTCACCATGCAGTTAAAGAACTTTTGCATCTACTTAAGAAAAGTATAATAAATGTAGTCTTACAGACTTATAATGGAAATATATTATGATTCGTGAAATTTCCATCCTGGTGTTGGATGCAAGTGCTGAAAGTTGGAAGTATGTAAATTTTAGGGTATTTCACGGGACGGTGGGATTCTCTCTATGTAATTGTTGTGACGGTGGTGCAAATCACTGAAGACGTGGTAGTTGAAATGATGAGGGCTTTTTAATCAGTATGAAAATGTTCAATAGCAACCGCAGTATGCGAAGGGGGACAACATGAACATCAAGGGTTGGCGGCTGCGATGTCATGACGCAAATCATTACGCAACCTGCGGGCCCTCATTATTGCGTTTTCGGCGAGAAACAAAAGAATGTATAATTACTGAAAATGTTATTATATGAGCATCCTGCGAAGATCATCTCCGTTGATTTTCAGAGCGTAAATGTATGGTAATTAACCGAAACCCATTCCATTGCTTCTTGCATTTTTTTTACTAATTATTTACAGAATCCTACCCATGTTAATACGCCATTCCCATTATGCAAATTTATGAAAGTTACATATTTTGCAAAATATACTAATTCAATACTTCCCAACGAAACAATATTATACACATGAGAATATTATAAATTTGTTACTTCTTGTATGAAAATTTTCACAAATATATATATAAATATACTATACAAGCTTTAAAGTATTCATCACGTACAGCTATTATTTTCTTAGTTAATAGAAATGATACTTCAAGGACACCCAACAAATGTTATATTTTATTTGAATAATTTTTTCTTCAATAATTACATTTCTATTAATTGGCGGATTAAGGATAGTTCAGGCCTTCCAAAAGATTATTATATTAAAATAGTATAGGAAAATGTATTGGCTTGCGGCCTCCCATTACAGAAAAATGTCTTGGTTTGGGACCCCTAGGCACGTGCTTCATTGCGTTGCTTGCATCTGAAAGGTACCTTATTACATTCAGCTGCATCCCTTGGATAAATTTGTACGCTGCATTAAATAAGGATGACCTAAATTATGCAACTTAATATACATAAGTAAACATATTTTACATATTAAAAGCTGTAACCTAAAATTGGGTACAATTTGGAAATTTAATTATTAGTTGTAACAACTTTAGTAACTATTGAAGAGAATAAATGCAATTTCAGAATTGTAATTAGGAGTCCAAGAAATTATATAATAACTGCAGTATCCGCCCGATGGAGTTTAGAATAGAAATTCGGGAGCGGCGAAGTAATTTGCTGATTCTCGGTGTTTTTCTATGTTATTTGTGGGAGAAGACAAGAATTAAGCGCTGTATTCGTAGATGGTTAATTAAATGTAATCTTCGAGAAAATTTCCGCAGTTGCCGCTACTAAGTTTGCGCAAACTTTGTCCCCGGCGAGCGGAGAATGTAAATATTTGTGCATAGCGCAAATAGCGGAAACTGGCTGCACCACTAATTTGCAAAAATATTCGCTTCCCCCGTTTACATCATTCTCAAAATTAGAAAATATATTTCAATTTTTTAATTAACAAATGCTTCAACGAATATATTTTTTGAATAAAATTTAGTAATTTATATGTTAGATAGGTTCTTAAGAAAAACGTGTAAATCGAAATTGTAACTTTTTTAATATAAAACCGTGTAAATTCAAAAGTATGCAAAAAATGCATAATTTCGTTGTTTTTTTTTATTATGAATTTATTTAAAAAATATTGAAGGGCAAAAAATTAAATGTGTTTTAAATCGTGTAAACGCGGAAACCCGTACCGTGTAAAACGAGACATGTAATATTAAGTAATTGATTGTGTAAATGGTGTAAGTTCAATGTATTTTATTCAATAAAAAGTCCTTTTTAAAATGATCGTTTTGGTTGGAATCGTGTGATACGCTTTTCGCAGAAGCGCACGTTTTATTTTTGATGGAAACAGATTGCGCTCACCCCCGTTCGAAAGTTTATTTGCCTAAAGAAAATCAATGTTGGTATTGCTTTCATATTTCAAGTTCATCTCCAGTTATTACGCAGGACAAATAATAGACGAGCCTGTTTCATATCTCCGGTAGAAATAAATGTTGGAAATGGAAAAATGTAAATGGAAATGGCATGTGCCAAACGCATGGATTAATGTAAGTTGAGTGCAAGAGGGTGTGATGATACTTCTTGTTTTTGATCGATTCGAAATATTATAACACAACTTTTATAAACCAGACGTTACATACTTAAGACAAAAACAGACATTTAGATGATTTTATTTTAACAAATTAAACTTACAATTAAATTTATTATATTTGAAAATTATAGAAAATAAATGAAATAACAGGATTTTACATATTATAGTTAATTAGAATTATCGAGTTTTTTTTAGAACAAATTAATAAAAAAAATAAAATTTGCAAACAAATTTGTGACATTTTTTTTAGAAATGATAATGAAAAATTGTAATTGATTAAGTAAACATAAATCTTAATTATTCGGTTTGCTGTTCTTTTTCTTAAATCTAATGGTTTTCTTCTTATTCGCATCAATTTTACCATTAGAATCTGTAAAATAAAAACGTTAGGTAAAATATAATTTTTTATTTTTTATAATACCTGCGAGAAGATCCTCCATATCTGTAAATTGAGGAGTTTGAGATTCTTCTTGACCGGTAGTTAAATCCGTAGATTTACTATTCTCACATGGCTCCTTCTGGTTAGCAATAATTTTACATTCTTCTGTTTTGAACAAACATGCAGAGCAGTTTAAAACCCTTTCGGTCAAAGGTTGAACTTCAGTCGGTTCTTCACTTGATTCATGTAAAGAATACAATAAGTATACTATTGAATTATGTAATAGAAACAAAAACTTACGTGATGTGCTTTGATTCATTACTAGAGGACATGTTTGTAACTTTAGTTTTTTTTTATAAATTTAAGAAATGAGAACATTCGCGTTCGGTCGCTTATTTTCAAATGGTCGATTCGTGCATACCCTTCAGTATTATTTCCATCTGATTGTTTACTTAATCAAACCGGACGTTAAACATAAATAAGATAAAAATTTTATTCACGCCCTCAGCATTCTTATTGTAAACACAAATTGGACGACGCTTACATAATATGCACACGCATC